TTAGTGGTGGAGCTGGTGTTCTTTACTACAGCGTGGTGTGGCATGTAGTAACTTTTATGCGGTTGAGCGTTGCCTACGAGCTCCATGTGGCCCATATTTAAAAGCTCCTGCATAAATTCTGCGTATTGACGGCGTAGCTCCTCATCAACAGCGAAACGTTTTTCCATTCTTAGCAGACTTCTTACGGATATGTTTCTCGACTCACCTAAAGGCACGGATTCCTTTAACGGGAGGCGTACGATGTAACGCCCGTCTTCAGCGCGGCGACAATGCTTGCGAAAATGCCCTTCACAAGCCTCTTCTTCGACAGTTAAGTATCGCTTGGGGGGAAACTATCGAGCTCCCAAAACTTACTCACCATTCGGATGAGTTGCACATCACAGTGCAGGGATAAAACTCCCGCACTTGGGCTGGATGAACGCATGGCCTTTCCGAAAAGTACCCAACCGAAAACTGTGTTTTGCGCCATGGGTGTGTCAGGTGGCCCTTTGCAGAGACCGGTTAACAGGAATTTATCCATCTCATCCATCCCTATTAACACATCAATAGGACCAGGTTTGGCGTAATGCTGATCAGCAAGAGCAAGATTTCGTAAGTGCGGCCAAGACGACATCTGTACACAAACGCTGGGAAGATCGTTTGTAATCTTCGATAAAATAAGCGAGTTGATTGTGAAATGCTGGTCAAGAGATCGGGGCGCAAGTGAAAGAATAGTCTCACCCTTAACTTTACCGCCATCTGTTGAACCAATACCTGTGACATGAGCTGCCGAAGGTTTCCTTTGTAGACGGAGGCGTTGAATACAGGCCTCTGTCACGAAGGATGCATGTGAGCCGTTGTCAAACAACACCCGAGCAGGTTGCCATCGCCCTGCATGATCTTGCAAATATATTTCTGCGGTTGCCAATAAAATGGCCTTGTCGGCTTCAGCGACGTGAGATGCTACGCAACCAGAATGCGGTACATCCGAGCTAGCATTATGTATACGCGCCGTAGTAGAGTCATCGATTGTAGATGACGTAGTCGATTGTTGCACAAGTAGATTGCCTTGCTGCTTTACAAACGGAGAAGCGTGTACATTCAGCTCATCGCTGGTCGTGTTATCTTCGCGGCAGCCGTGTAGTAATGTATGATGACGACGACGGCATATGTTACAAGTTGATAAACTGCGACATTTTGCTTGAAAGTGGCCTTTGCTCAGACAGTTGAGACAAACATTATGTTTCTTGACCAATGCAAACCGGGCAGCAGCATTTAATTTACGGAAAGTTGGGCAGGCGTAAATTTTGTGTTTGGCGTTGCAATGGAAACATGAGGGTGAACTGGCTCCTGCATCAACCAGGTTGGATGAGGAGGTGTGTTGCTCACCAATCGCATGGAGCACGTTTGTTGTAGTCTTCGCCGCAGTTTTGCTGAGCTGGCGCGCTCCTTGCGCTGAGGTTGACAGCGCACCACTCGTCGGTACCATCTCTAGCGAACGCGCACGTGTTTCCAAAAACTCGACCAACTCTTCAAAAGTAGGTAAAACATCCCTCACCAATGACAGCTCCCATTGTTTCCGGGTTTCGTAAGCCAACTTCGAAACGGTAAGGTGGACAAGCCAATCGTCCCAAAACTCCACAGGCCGACCTAAAGCACGTAGCGAGCCAACGTGTTGCATGGTAGCGTTTAAAACTTGCTTAATGGCCTTACCAGTATCTCGAGATGCCTTTTCAATTGCAAAAATTGCTTTGAAGTGACCATCAACCATGACACGCAAAACCTTGTAACGCGTGGTGAGTAGATCCCACGCAGCATTGTAGTTGCCATCACAAATCTGTAGACTGCTTACAAGTTGGAGCGCCTCACCTTGAAGACAATTGCGCAAATAATGCAATTTTTGACTAGCAGACAAACTCGCGTTCGTGTGTACGAGCGACTGGAACGCGTCGAAAAAGGCTAACCAATTTGTAGGGTCTCCACTGAAAGTCGGCAGCTGTAACTTGGGCAGTTGAACTGGCGAGGACGTGAAACTTGTTGATGTGGAAGGGCGCGGTTGCTCAGGGCTTCCGATGAGGCGTTTAAAATTCGCCTTCGCTGTGATGTACCACTCTTCTGCCTGTGTGCGAGATTGCTCTTCAACCGGCGCACTTTCTTCGCCGCACAACAACTCTACTTCTTGTTGAGCGTCAGCGAATCTGACCCACTGCTCCTCGAGAAGCTGAAGATACGTTTCTACTGCTTCTTTGTCCAATGCCAACGCATCATTTTTGCTGATTAAAACATATCGTTTGATTGCGTTTAATGCAGAATCACGCACCTTCACTTTGGACATGGCGTGATGTATACAATTGGGGTTATGTCACACACGTGTAAATGTTGTTACGAAATTTGCGCTTAAAATCGCACTTATGCAAGCGAGAGCGTGGAAATCAATTTATAAGCGTTTTTGCTCTTGGATTTAAATGTTCTTAAGCCGGTACAAACTTGTTAAAACGTATTTAAGGACCGTATTTTGACCCAAATTAATCAACGCGATCCGGGACGAAGGACCAGATGTTGCGTACAAAAGCGAAAAAGCGTATTATTGTAAAAGTCCGATTGTACGCAAATAAATGCGGGTTACACGAAAGCGGGTGATATAAAAGCGGATTATATTCGATTTTAAAAGCGGTTTATTCAATTATACAGCGGGTTAAAACCATAGATAAAAAGCGAACATTAACTAATGACATTTTACTATCTTACTATTTACATTCCATTTTCCCTTATTCCATTGGAATACCAAAGCAAAATAGAGTTGCCATATGGGCACGAACAATTATCGATTTTGATTGGAACTGCTTTGCTTTTGCTGTAGCTTTGAAAATTGTATTTTGCTTTTTTATCGACAGTTTATTTTAAAAAATTTTATTGCTTTCGATTTGCTGTGATAGTGATTTTGTTGTGCTGTTATCTGCTTGGCTGTGTTTTGGAAATGACGCTCTCCAGCATGGTATATTATCTAAATTTATATAAAATGAACATGTTTTTACGCCGTCATCAATGCAAAGCTTATCAGGGTAAGCGACTAGTGGATTTACGCATGCATACATAGACATAATATCCTCTATTTTTCCAAATTGATGCTTCGCAGCAAAGATATTGTTACGATTATCCTCGAAACCTTGAGGGATTTCCCAAATATCCTACGGCTCGTATTACAGGATTGTTAAATAAATGCTAACTATGACCACATTGTAGTACAATTAACTTTATTGTACAACAAACAATTTACAATACTTGCTAATACAGCAAAAACACTTTACAATACTTGTTAAAGCAATAACAGCGATTTACTAAACTTGTTAACACAATTAAACTTATAGCTTGCTTATTCGCAACTCACTTCTCTGCTCACTTTACTTGTAGCTTGCTGACTTGTATCTAACTAACTTTGCTGTGGCGGCGCCCTTATATACCTGCGTTCGCACTTATGGCAACTCTAGAACGTTCCAAAGTTTATCGCTCATTCTCTTTCGCTCGCTGTTCGCAGTGTTCATCAAACTTGACGTTTCTCTTTGTGGAACATTCTACGTCATTCCTCGAACATTCTGCCTATTTCTCGTTGTACGCTTTGTGTTGCCGAAGTATTCGCCACACTGCCCTCCACCTAAGTCTGATCGTCCCGATCAGACACAGTTTCTGTGCCAAACGATGCAAGCCTTTCCATGTGGACCACCTTCATCTTGTTTCTTGGTCTCCTAACGGTCTGGATTCGATACACTACGTCATTCAGCCGTTTGACGACCTTATACGGACCTTCCCAGTTGCATTGTAGTTTTGGGGACAAACCTTTCTTCCGTTGTGGATTGTACAGCAACACTAAGTCTCCCTCTTGGAAACCCTCGGAGTTCATTGCCTTATCATACCTGGTCTTCATCTTGTCACTCATAATTTGAGTTCGCTGTCTCACAAGTGCATGTATTTCTCTTAAATCCCCTTCCAGGATGTTGGACGTCTCTTTCCCAATTCTCCTCCATCACCAGTTACTCCAAACTTCAGGTCACTAGGCAAACGGAGCTCACTGCCGAAGATTACCCTTGCAGGAGTTTTACCCGTTCTTTCATGCACTGCTGACCGGTACCCCATCAGGAACAAGGGTATGCGGTCATCCCAATCTTTCTGAGTTTTGTCCACGACCTTCCGCAAATGCTCTTCCAGGGTTCGGTTCAACCGCTCCACCATGCCATCTGATTGGGGATGAAGAGCCGTTGTTCGAGTTTTCCGGATACCTAGTATCTGGCACATGTGTTGGAACACCGCCGATTCAAAATTTCTTCCCTGGTCAGAGTGCAGCTCTATAGGTACACCGTATCTCGCAACCCAATTGTAGGTGAATACCTCCGCTACTGTTTTAGCTTCCTGGTTTGGAATCGGGTATACCTCCGGCCATTTGCTAAAGTAGTCCATAACCACAAGGACGTATTTGTTTCCCTGTGCGCTCATAGGAAATGGACCGGCTACATCCATGGCAATCCGCTCGAAAGGTGCACCTGAGTTATATTGCTTCATCTGGCCATGACTTCTGGATTTCGGCCCCTTAGCTGCAATACACTCCGCGCAGTTAGCAATCCACTCTGCGACCGATTGCCGACAACCAACCCAATAGAACTTCCGTTTAACCTTCTCCAGGGTCCTCGTGATTCCCAGATGCCCTCCACTAGGACCATTGTGGAATTCCTTGAGTATATCCGGAATTCTTACCCTTGGAACTACTATCAGGTTGCGGGAGCACTGGCCATCTTCGCTTTCCCATACCCTATGCAAACAGCCAGATATTAATTTTAAGCTGTTCCATTGTGCCCAGTACGCCTTTGCGATGGGGCTTTCCGCTGCCATTTGCTCCTTAGTTGGCCTCCTGTCCACCTCCAGTCCATGCATCAAAAGCTCCAGATCTGGATCTTCCTGCTGACACTTTCGTAGCTGTTCTTCCTTCCACTCTTCCGCTGGTGTTATTGTCGTTAGACGGACGTCTATAATGTCCTCTTTTCCCTCAGATTTTGAGCAGTGTTTACATTCCAGGCTACACGGTCGGCGGGACATGGCATCAGCATTACCGTGGACACTTCCCTTGCGGTGTTCAATAGCGAAGTCATAACTTTGCAGTCTCTCAATCCACCGAGCTAGCTGTCCTTCTGGATTCTTAAACTGTAGTAGCCACTTCAGCGCTGCATGGTCCGTTCGAACTCGGAAACGTTGCCCATAGAGGTACTTGTGGAAATGTTTGACGCAGCCCACCAACGCTAGTAGTTCTCTCCGAGATACGCAGTAGTTCCTCTCTGGTTTTCCAATCGACCATCGATGCAGTACATAGTCGCTCCTTCAAGGTTTGGAAAGCTTCCTCCTGCTCCTTGTTCCACTCGAATGCTCTATTTTTCCTAGTGAGCTCGTGAAGGCTATTAGCTACGCTGGCGAAATTCGGAACAAATCGGCGGCAGTAGGTGCATAGCCCAAGAAAACTTCGTAGTTCGTGCAGGTTCCTAGGTCTTGGCCAATCCTTTACTGCTTCTATCTTTTCCTTCGCAGTACAGATGCCCTCCGTTGTCACCTTGTGCCCTAAGTAGTTCACCTCCTTCCTGAACAGTGAGCACTTTTTAGGACTTAGCTTCAGACCAGCGCCAGCTATCCTCTGGAAAACTTCTTCCAAATTGTTCAGGTGTTCCTCAAAGCTTTTACCCAATACGATAATGTCGTCTAGATACACCAAACATGTTTTCCAATGCAGTCCTTTGAGCACATGGTCCATAAGTCGTTCAAAAGTGGCAGGAGCGTTGCATAATCCAAAGGGCATCACCGTGAATTGCCACAGACCGTCTCCAACGCTGAAAGCTGTCTTCTCCTTATCCTCGTCACTTACCTCCACTTGCCAATAACCGCTCGTCTTAAGGTTAAGTGAGAACCACTTTGTTCCAGTCAACGAGTCCAGAGTGTCATCGATCCTGGGAAGAGGATAGCTGTCCTTTTTCGTCACATCGTTTAGTTTCCGGTAGTCTACGCAGAACCGCATTTGACCATCCTTCTTCTTCACAAGTACTACCGGCGAACTCCATGGACTCGCTGATGGTTCAATCACACCACTCTCGCTCATTTCGTTTATTATTTGGCTAACAGTTTCACGTTTGGCAAGTGGAACACTCCGAGGAGCTTGACGGATTGGCCTTGCATCGCCAGTATCAATGCGATGTTTCACAACGTTAGTCCTGCCTGGTTTGTCGCCATCCTTGTTGAATATGTTGGAGTATCTTCGGAGAAGTTCCTTAGCCTTGTGCTGGTATTATTCTTCCAACCCTTCCGTCCATACATTAATGTCTTCCGCAATGTCATTCGCGCCAATGGAATCGCTTTCAGATAATTTTTCGCAGTTGAAGATTGCCTCTACCTCTCGACATTGCCCCAGTACAGTTCCTCTTCGGAGTTTGACTGGTGATTTGAACTCATTGAGCACTCGAACTGGGATGCGTCCATCCTTTTGCGTCTTAGCCAAGGTTTTACCAATAAGTACGTCCGGTGTAGAATTTTGTGTTGCTTCAACAACCCACAATTTGTTTGTCCCACAATCTCCATCAATCTTTGCCCACACAACTGCTTCTGACTTCGGTGGAATCTGCTCGCTTTCCTCTAGGATCACTCGCTTGCTGCTGTACGGACCATCATACCCAAACCTAAGGAGCACTTCCATGTTGTTATACGTCATAATCCAGTTCTTCATGTTGATCTGCATACCTTGATCAAGCAAGAAGTCTAATCCAATGATGACTTCATCCATAATCGCCGCGACTATGAACTTGTGTAACACCGTCACATTCCCTATTGCGACTTTGCATGTTACCTCTCCTACAACTTGGGTGTACTGGTGACTCAACCTTGCTCCAGGTAATGGCCTTACCTCTTTAGTGACCAAATCAGATCGAATGATGGAATGTGATGCGCCCGTATCCACAGTTAGTACTCGCTCATGTCCGTCCACATATCCACCAACAGTAACGTTGCTCGCTTTTCTGCCAATTCGCGAGACGGAGATTATGGGGCATTCAATTGCGGGAGCCAGCGCGCGCCCCTTGCTGCTGGCTCGTTTTAGTTTAACGACTGATTGGAGTTGGATTCGTCTCCTTCAGCCCTGCGTTTGCGTCCTGCTGAATTGTTGAGCGCACTGGAACTTGCGCTGCAATCGCGGGCGAAGTGGCCTGGCTGTCCACATTTAAAACATTTGCCAGAGGCATGCTTTTTCTCGCCCAGTAGTTGGATAATCTTCTTCAGCATTTCATTTGTCTCGTCCGGTGTTTCCACTTCCAC